CTTCCATTAAGGGTATACGTTGCTTGTGTATTCTTTACGCCGAAGTGCATAACTTTGCATTTTTCAACATTAAATTTCATCTGCCATTTGAGTGCCCAGTCTCCCAGTCTATCTAAATCCCTCTGCAGCAAAGTAATATCTTGCTCACATTGTATTGTTTTACAAAGTTTTGTGTCATCTGCAAACACTGAAACATGACTTTCAATGCGGTCTTCAAGATCATTTATAAACATGTTAAATAGAAGGGGTCCCAGAACAGACCCCTGAGGGACACCACTTGCCACCTCTGTCCAGCTTGAAAATTTACCATTAATGACAACTCTTTGTACTCTGTTTTTAAGCCAATGTTCTACCCAAGAACAAGCATTTTCATCTAGACCGATTTCCTTGAGTTTGAACACTAATCTATTGTGTGGAACTGTATCAAATGCCTTGGCAAAATCCAAAAAGATCACATCCACGGCAACACCCTGATCTATACTTCTACTTACTTCTTCGTAGAACGCAATCAAGTTAGTTTGACATGACCTGTGCTTCATAAAACCATGCTGATTTTTGCTGATAACCATGTTCTTCTCAAGGAATTCTTGAATATTATCCCTTAATAAACTTTCAAATATTTTACCAGCCACAGAAGTTAAGCTCACAGGTCTATAATTTCCAGGCAAGGATTTTGAACCCTTTTTGAATATAGGAACCACATCTGCCTTCCTCCAATCCTCCGGAACACTTCCTGAAAGAAAAGAATCTTGAAAGATTAAAAACAGAGGTTCACTTATTTCTGCACTTAGTTCCTTAAGTACACGTGGATGGATACCGTCAGGCCCTGGAGCTTTGTTTATATTAACTTTCTTTAGTTGCTGCAGCACCTTGTCTTGAGTTAACCAATTACAATTATTCTGCAAGTTTTTAGTAGCAATCATTTGCACATCTATTGCCATGGGTTCTTCCTTAATATATACGGAGGAGAAAAAGTTATTTAAAATTCCTGCCTTTTCCTGGTCTTCATTAATTAACACCCCCGTTTCAGTTTTTAGTGTACCTACACTTTCATTTTGTTTTTTTTTAGAATTTATGTACTTAAAAAATGCTTTGGGGTTGGTTTTGCTCTCTTCAGCTATCATTATTTCATTTTGAAGTTTAGCAAGTCTAATTGCCTTTTTGCACGCATTATTTGCATCCTTATATCTTTTATAAGATGCATCTGATTTGTCCGATTTAAATGCTTTAAATGCCCTTCTCTTAGTTGTAATCTCTTGTTTTACTTCTCTACTAAGCCATGTTGGTTTTAATTTGTTTCTTTTATATTTATTTCCCAGTGGTACATACTGAGAAATGTACCTTTTTAATATTTGTTGGAAGATGATCCATTTATCCTCAGTGTTCTTTTCACTAAAGAGTTTATGCCAGTCAATATATTGTAAAGCTTCCCTTAACTTATTGAAATTGGCCTTTTTAAAATTATATGTTTTAGTATTCCCCATGTGCTTTTGTTTTTTTGAGTTTATTTCAAAGGACACTATATTGTGATCACTATTTCCCAAGTGCTCACCTACTTGAATGTTGGTCAAAAGATCAACGTTGTTTGTTAAAACCAGGTCCAGACAAGCATCCATTCTAGTTGGTGCTTGTACAAGTTGTGACATGAAGGTGTCATTTAACAAGTTTAAAAACCTAATTCCCTTTGCTGAGGCACTAGTCCCTCTGTCCCAATTTATATCCGGGTAATTAAAATCTCCAATAATTAAAGTGTTACCCAGATTTGCAGCTTTCTCAATTTGCTCAAACAGCTGTTGTTCCTCGTCAATATTAACATTAGGTGGTTTATAACATATCCCAACCAATAGTTGGTTTCCCTTCTTTTCCCCCAAGCAGATATTTACCCATAAAGCTTCCACATTATCCTCCTCGCATTCCATTTGCTTAACATTTGGCTTTAAATCATGTTTGACATACAAACATACCCCACCACCCTTCTTGTTTTTCCTATCCTTCCTAAATAACATGTACCCATTTAAGTTAGCTGCCCAGTCATGTGTCTCATCCCACCATGTTTCAGTTATGCCTATTATATCATATTGTTTAGTGTATGCTAATGCCTCTAGTTCCCCCATTTTGTTATTTAGGCTCCTTGCATTAGTAAGCATACATTTAATATTATGCGCACTTGTATATTTTGTGAATTTTCAACATTACACAGCTTCTCTGTTCTGAGCTTGCCCCTCCCCCCGTTTCCACCCCCCTTATACTGTGCTAAAGCCCATCTCCTTTCTGTCCTATCTCCATTTTGTAGATTGCTATGACCCTCCCCCCCTACTACTAGTTTAAAATCTCCTCCAACCTTCTAGCCATCCTATCCCCCAGCACTGCAGACCCTCTCCCGTTTAGGTGCAATCCATCACCACTATAAAGGTTGTACCCAATCGCAAAGTCGGCCCAGTGCTCTAAAAACCCCAAAACCCTCCTTCCTGCACCAAGACTTAAGCCACGCATTGACCTCTCTAATCTCCCGCTGCCTTTCCACTGTAGCACGTGGCACAGGTAATATCTCAGAGAATACCACCTTGGAGGTCCTTTTCTTAAGTTTGCTACCTAATTCCCTGAAATCATTCTTTAGGACCTTCCATCTTCCTCTTACTTTGTCATTGGTACCAACATGGACCATGACCGCTGGGTCATCCCCAGCCCCTCCCAATAATCCATCCACTCTGTCAGCAACATGCCGGACCCGAGCACCCGGGAGACAGCAAACTGTCCGGTTGAGCCGATCAGAGCGGCAGATTGCCCTATCTGCTCTCCTAATGATAGAGTCCCCTACCACCACAACCTGTCTTGCCTTCCTTACATTTTGATCCCCACCCGTACTAGGGGGGCTGTTAGCTCGGCTGTTAGAAGTAACAGCTTCCTCTAATACAGCTACTCCTGAGCTGATGCTCCCAACATCTTCCCTCAAACGGGCAAATCTGCTAGGTTGCACCAAATCAGGACTAGCTAGCCCTTTCCTCTTCCCTCCCCCCCTGCTTCCTCGCCCCACTGTCACCCAGCTACATGCCTGTTCCCCATCTGTCTTATCTCCTCCCTCTCCACTACCTGTCCCCACTAAACTCTGCTCAGTGAGCAGTAGACTCCTCTCAAGATTATCAATCTCCCTCAATGTTGCGATTTGCTTCTCAAGATCTCCAATCTGAGCTTCCAGAGAAGCCACTCGCACACAACCATCACAGAGGTATGGACCCTGGACGGGTACATCCAGGCATCCATACATGCAACAAGATGTGCATTGAGTTAAACCAGCAATCTTGCTAACACTCATTTCCCCTTTAAACAGTAAATAAAAACAGTTACCTTGATAGTTTAAACCCCTTGTTAGTTTCAACTCCTGGTTTTCTAACTCCTACTTGAAAGAGTCTACTTAATAGAGGCTGCTTTTAAATAATGTGAGCAAGCTCAGTGAGTTAGGGGTGTGCCTTTATGGGGATACAAATCCCACACAGGTGTAATTAATAAACACTCCCCCAATCAATCAAGCAGCAGCACACAAAAAAGGGGGGGAAAACCAGAACACAGAAAAAAAAAAAAAAGTAATGACACCACAGCTACTACAATTATGGGACCTATAGTCGCACAATAGTAGTGGGGTGGGTGAAGACTGGACCCACACATTTATATTTGTTATAGCACATACATGGCACCTTTACAAAAAACAGGCCATCATATGATAATGAGTGTGTTTTATTACCCCGAATTCTCACTAATGGTCAAGAAATTCAATTGATATTTCAAACTAAAGCTACCTGAAGCATTAAGAACCCAGCGTTACAACGAACCCCATGAACTCCTGATCAGTAAGGATTCTGCACGGAGCCCATATAAATGTGTAGGAGTCAATTTATGTAAATTGTATCTTTCATTGCCTATCCCGAAGGAAGCCAATTACAACATGTTATGTGTGAGTTCTGCCCATGTAACAATTGCTCCCTTTATAGCAGTACTGGAAATGGTGTACATCAGGAATGAGACAGCGAAACACGGCGCAATCACAGCGTATACACATATTATTAAAAAATACTCTGAGCGCGCAAACCTCATATTACGGAAATGCTTATTACATAATACATGACAGCATGCTACAATACAATGTGTATTAGAGGAAAATACCACCACTCAGGGTTGTAGAGCCTTATAATTATATTACATTAGTATCTCCAGAATCCATAATGACATTCATTTTTCCTAATATATGCTTTATTGGTATATAATTTAATACTTCATGGTTTTTAAGTTATAAGATGGGAGTTTGTGTTAATGTTTTAGGGTTCGTGTCAATCTTGTGTTACTAAAGTGAGAATTCAAAGTGAATAAAGTGTTACGTGTTTTAGGTCTAGGGTTAGTGTTGGGGTCAAGGTTGGGGTCAGGCTCAGTGTGAATGTTACAGACAGAGATATAAGTTAACAAACGAAGGAAATGTACCTTAACGAAGCGTTTAGAATTTTAAGTGATGTTAAAGGACCACTATAGTGCCAGGAAAACATACTAGTTTTCCTGGCACTGTAGAGCCCTGAGGGTGCCCCCACCCTCAGGGATCCCCTCCCGCCGGGCTCTGTGAGGAGGAAGGGGTTAAACTTATCTCTTTCTCCAGCACCGGGCGGGGAGCTCTCCTCCTCCTCTCCTCCCTCTTCTTCCGTCACCGGCTGAATGTGCATGCGCGGCAAGAGCTGCGCTCGCCTTCAGCCAGTCCATAGAAAAGTTTTATCAATGCTTTCCTATGGACGCTGGCATCTTCTCACTGTGAAAATCACAGTGAGAAGCGCGGAAGCCCTCTAGCGGCTCTGAAACTGCTATAATTATAAAAAAAGGGGTTAAACCTAGCTGGACCAGGCACCCAGACCGCTTCATTAAGCTGAAGTGGTTTGGGTGCCTATAGTGGTCCTTTAATACTTATAAGGTCTTAAAGGAAAACCCCCGTTACCAATTTTAAAAAACAACTTGAGGTTATTATAATGGAAGCCTTTAATGAAAACATTATCGCCAAGTTCGAGCTAGACTACCTGTACATTCAGCTTCCAAAACTGGCAATCTTCTACCACTTGCCCAGGATCCACAAAAATTTGGATAACCCACCAGGTAGACCAATTATTAGTGGGATCGGATCTCTGACCAGTGATCTATCGGAATGTGTGGATTTTTATCTACAGAAATATGAATCTCAAGCACCTTCCTATATAAGAGATTCGGCCTTAAGGCATATCACGGCAGCTCCCAATCTGTGCATTTCCTGAATAGCTAATCTTCTCTTATGTGAGCTATTAAGACCATTTACATTAAGAGAGAAAAACCTGAAGCACATCATAAAAGAACCCATTCCAAATATCACCTCATCTCCCCCTATTACACAAACAGCCCAACCTTACCATATGTGCTTCACTTGCAAAATTATACATTAATTTATGCGAATACACTTTTTTGAACTTTGTCCCAAAATCACAGAGAGGTGTTCGAATTAATATACCATTGTATGCACAGATATACTGACTAAGCTGTATCCCAAAAACACAAAATGGTGTCAAAGCACTGCAATATAAAAAAGCAAAGAAATAAAAAAATTACAATAAATAAAAAAATTACAATAATAAAATGTAAATGAAAATATATACTCTCAACTTCGAGAGTTACCTAGGGTTCTGGGCAGAGAAGCAAAAAAATCTATAACTCCTACAATCCCAGTTTTCGGGGATTGAGCGGATGGACACTTGCATGGTTTCCCAGCCCAAATCAAATTCCAACACTCTTTTTTCAAAGCAAACCTTTATGTATATATTTTTTTTCTTCCTTATTATCTTTTTTCTTGTTTTTTTCCCTTTTTTCCTACTTCCCCTCTTTCCTTTTTTTCCTTTCTTTTTTCCCTTTCCTTCTTTTTTTCTTCCTTTTCTTTTTAATTGTTTTTGTATATTCCCATTTATATATTGTAAGGGAAGAGAAAAGAAAATAAATGGAAAGGAAAAGGGAAAAAGAAGAAAGACAGAGACGTGAGAAAAAAAAAGGAACCAATTCAAATCCACATTTACAGCTCTATATATTGAGGGAACTCATTACTTCTTAGATGTCCCCACCATTCTCTATTCTGGCGCAATCTTACGGAGGGAAAGTCGCAGAGGGGGTGACTCTGCTTGCTGTTCCATAAAACACCACATTTTCAAGTTTGTTACTCCGATCGACTTTTCAGATATATTGTGTGTATACGGGTAAGTAAGACAAAGCTACTAAAATGAGCTATAATATTTAACTAGATCTGAGGATAAGATCTTTACAATATAGGAAGTATTACTATTGCTCACTATAAGCAAATTGGATTATAAAATAGTGTAATGGAAGACACCTAGATAGGGCTGAGACTAAGCAGCAATATGAACATGTATCGGTGTGATATATACCATACGACCTGACAGTCAAGATAAATTAATTTAAATTATGTCTTAATTTGGTATTTGTACACCCCCATTGGGATAAGCATTCTATATTTGGACTTTGTTATGCACTATTTTAATTTATGTAGTATGAATTATGTGATGTGTATTAGCTTAATATATGCATTACTACTGTATTTATTTTTTTATTATGTATAACAAAAAAACATGGAAATATTTCCTAATAAAAATAAGACATGAAAAAAAAAAAAGATTCTGCCCACATAATCAGAGAAATGGAGGGTCTTCAATGGAAAAAGGATTACATCTCGGCCACTATAGATGCATCTTTATATACACAATAATATACCACGAGAAAGTGATCACAGCCATATAGGAAGTTCTTACTGATGATTAGAGATGTCGCGAACTGTCCGCTGAACTGTTCGCGAACTTCCGCCGGCGAACAATAGCGTGTTCGTGTTGGGCGAACATATCCGATTTCTGGTCCGCCCCCTATACGTCATCATTGAGTAAACTTTGACCCGGAACCTCACAGCCAGCAGACACATTCCACCCAATCAGCAGCAGACCCTCCCTCCCAGGAAGTGTCTGCTGACTGTGAGGTTCCGGGTCAAAGTTTACTCAATGATGACGTATAGGGGGCGGACCGGAAATCGGATATGTTCGCCCAACGTGAACATGCTATTGTTCGCCGGCGGACAATTCGCGAACAGTTCGGCGGACAGTTCGTGACATCTCTACTGATAATGAACATATGTCTCAGAAACAGATGGTATTCATCTTAAAGTTTATTGATTTCATTTTAAAGAAAAACACTTTTTGGCTTGAAGGTACACATTATCTCAAATATGCGGGACAGTCATGGGCACTAGGTTCGCTCCCAGTTACGCCAACATCTTTGTGACGGACAAGGAGTCCAAGTTCATCTGGCGACAGAATCCGTTTCTGGCAAACGTGGTGCTATGGAAACGGTATATCGACGATATTCTGATTATTTGGCATACGGATAAAACCATTTAAAAAGATTTTATTAAATATGTGATAGCAACTACCTTTGTTCCCCAGTCTCGTACATTTGTATCCATTTGTTTCCCCTTTCTTATTACATTATATATGTTATATTATGTCAATTTTATTTTTATGTATAATTTTCTATGTTATTTTCTTTTGTATTGTGAATCCAGTTCCGTTTTTTTTTTTTTTGCCGAGTGTGGGGTATTTATACTGGTTTGCTTACACATTATTTTTAGTCTTGATAAAGTCCCGTGGGAGGGATGAAACGCGTAGACAGGTTGTGTTCTGGACCTGCTGTTATTTGATTGCTGTTTTGGAGTGAAAGCAGGAAGCACGGAAACATTTATCCATTTTGGCGGTCTTTTCTTCATTGGGCTCTGTTTGTTGGATCTCACCTTTGAAGCCTTATCTAACGGTGTCCGGTTATACTTCACCGCGGTCTTTTTTGAAGATCCCGACTGCGGTGTACCAGCTTACGACCTCCATGGATATTTAGTGTGCCGTATCCCTCTTTTTCACATTTTTAGACTCTTTGCTCTCCTTTTTTACCTCGGTGGGGGCCCACACAGAGGACAGGTACTGTGTCTATATATTCTCACATTAGAGTATATTTTTTACTATACTTGTGTTAGGGTTTGGGGTGGGGCAACACTTAGATACTTTGTCACTGTATCATTGCATTGAGTCTGGGTGTTGCTACCACTCAATTTCCTCACTTATTAGAGAGCTGTGTGGTTATATTTGTTTCAGGATAGCGATATTGTTTTTATTTGTTATATAATAGGTCCAGATCACTTTTTGTATTTTGATAATTATTAATTATTTTTTTTAACTGTTTCTGATAAATAAACAGTGGCTTATTTATTTATGGTTATAATTATTATTTTTATTTTATGATTGGGTAAGTGTCCACACTTTTACAGTTTGTGAGCTTCCACTCAATATTAGTCGCTGGTGAGTGTGTGGAACTACCCCTTCTATTTTCCCCTTTTTTTACCCATTTATTACACCATTACTGTATATTTTTATATTAATCCCTTTCTTATTAACCCAATAAAAGTTTTTCAACTTATTGGATACATCTCAATCTGATACAAACTGTGTGAATTCATTTTTATGGTCTACCAGAGCTGCAGAGACAATTTACTTAGCTGTAAATAATTTATTCACCCCCCCCCCCACACACACAGACTAACCCCCAACCCCCACACTCAGACTGATCCTCACACACACACAGACTGACCCCCTCATCTATAAACACAGACTGACCCATACACACACAGACTGCTCACCACACAGACTGACCCATAACCACAAACTGACTCCCCCCACACACACAGACCTAACCCTCCCACACACAGACTGACCTCCCCCACACACCCATACACACACAGACTGACCCCCCCACCCATCCACACACAGACTGACCCCCCACCCATCCACACACAGACTGACCCCCCCACCCATCCACACACAGACTGACCCCCACACCAATACACACACACACAGACTGACCCCCACACAGACTGATCCCCCACACACAAATTGACCCCCTACACACAGACTGACCCCCACACAAATTGACCCCCTACACACAGGCTGACCCCCCCCACACACACACAGACTGACCACCCCCCCACACACACAGACTGAAGCACACACACTGACTCCCACTTACCAGCAGCTGCCTGGATGCCTCTGTGCAGAGCTGAGCTTCCTCTCCCTGTCTCTCCCCTGTGCTGCTCTCTGTGACCCAGGAGGAAGTCCTCCCAGCAAAGTTCCCCCTCTGGACCCTCATGGGAAAAGGGTGGACTACAGTTCCACAGTGACAGTGCTGTGGCAGCTTGAGAAGGGAGACTCAGTGCTCCCAACTTCAATTTCAATTGGTGGGTCACAAGGGGGTGATGTAGGGGGTCCATGGCCCCCTCTGGCCCCCCCCATAGTGACTCCACTGCCCGTCGCACTGTTAAAGTGCCACAGCACTGACTGGGCCTCCTGGAAATTAATTTCCATCGGGTGGCCCTAAGAGCATGGGCCACCCAATGGGCCCTTTAACGTGCGGCCCCTTAAATGTGTGTTCTTTCTGCTTGGTTTTTGTTTTTTAAAACACACATTTTTATAAAGTACCATAAGTACCACCAAAACAACACATACCCCATAAATCTTACATCCCTTGATAGCTCCGTTCTGGGTGAACAACATATCCACAAATCACCCAGATCAGATAAGGGGTTCAGAAATTTTATGGAAGTCATATTTGTGCCTAGGCGCAGGCATGGTCCCATGCCCAAAACAATTCCATAGAATCCCGGCTAAATGCCGCTGGAGGACCGATCGGGAACCACAAGGTTTTCATGCTGAAAATAGTTCCAGGGCATTTGCGGCTAAGTCCCCCTGAAGTCTATTTGTGGTTTTGGTTCATGCGAACAAGATGTTCGAATGTCGAATGGTGTCCACTTCGACTGTTTGGGAGTTTGAAGTGCCTCTTCGAAAGTTTGAACTGTGGCCATAAAAATCCAAAAAGGCACAAACAGTGATTAAAACCACGTTTTATCACATGGGCCATAGTAACAGGGTAGGAGGCTGGCAAGTATGCCCCTCCAAGAACCAGTGGTGAAGTTGCTTTTTTCACACCCACCACATATGTGAGTATGTCCCCCTTAGCCCGCACATCCTTCAACAGTTGTCAGTGGGGCGCACATCCATTTTAAGCAGCTGTACGGGGGTTGAATGCCCCCCGAAGAGGATGTTAAACATTTGTTCTTGCGAGGTGACACATACAGAGACCTTCGCAGCAGCTTCCCACATATCCTGCCATTCATCACCATCAATGTCCCCTCCCCAAGTTTCTCTCCCACTGATCGACATATCGCAGGGGGCCCCACAGATCAGCATGTGAGCAGATTGCTGCGTATTTTTCAGTAATAAGGTCCTTTTGATGCTTTCCCTGGTGGTAAATCAGCTCAAAGAAAGTGGGTTTAGTTCCTTTAGTCCCTAGTACCTCCTCTTTTTGGGCATAATCTCGGATTTGCAAGTATCTAAAATAGTCATGGTTGGTAAGTTGGGCTCTCTGTTTCAGTGTGGAGAAAGTCACCAGTTCATCATCTTCCCAGAGGTTTAAAAGCCTCTGCAGTCCCGCGTCTTCTAAGTTCCCAAATCCCTGAGAAACCAGTCCCGGAGGAAAGTCACTGTTCCGTAGAAGTGACACCAACGGAGAGGGTTTAGCACATAGGCTGAACTTATACCTGGCCTTATCCCAGAGAGTAAGGGAAGTTAGTATTCCCGGGCACTCGGTTCGGATCAGAGCCCTCTGGGACCTCTCCAACCACATATAAACATGGGGAGGTCAGAGCGCATTAGCGCTGACTCTAGGTCCACCCATCTCCTTTCTTCTGGAAGTACATGCCACATCACCACTTGAGCCAACAGTGCCGTGTAGTAGTACGAGGAGACTTGGGAGAGCCAGTCCCCCCCTCGTCTTAGGTCTATATAACATATAACATATTCCTCACCAACCAATGTCTTTTGCCGTCCCAAATAAAGGTGTCTGTATGCCTCTGGGTCACGTCTAGGTCAGGCTTAGGTACCCATATAGGAAGCGCCTGGAAGAGTAAGAGCAGCCGAGGGAGAACATTCATTTTTATACTTTGGATACTTCCTATCCATGAGATTGGTCGCGACCCCCATGCCTCCAAATCCCTCTGAATGGCTTGAAACAAAGCATGGTAGTTAGCTTTATATAGTGGTAATCACCACTCCCAGGTATTTACTTGAATTGGTTAGGTGGAGTTGTGATGTAGAGCTAACCGTGCCCTCATCAGCAGCTGACATATGTATCGACCTAGCACTAGACTTGGTCACATTAACTTTATATCCCAAAATCGGACTGTAGTTCTCATTGAGCTCCACCAGAAGGGGAAGGGAGCTCAGCGGTTCCGCAAGCGTAAGCATAACATCGTCGACATAAGCCGCTGCCTTGTACTCTTTTGGACCTGACCCTCACCCCTCAAATTACCAGAACATCCCTAATCCGCTGCCACAAGGGCTCCAGCATGGGGGCAAACAGGAGGGGCAACAAAGGGCACTACCTCCCTCACACAGAAGCATCACTCTCGCTCAGAGATCTCCGTAAAGTGCCCCCACAGCACTCATAAACGAGGCTGGAAATCCCCAGTGATCTAAGAGTGCCATTAAATACGACCACTCAACACTATCAAATGTCTTCTCCGCATCCAAAGATAGGAGCAGAGAAGGCGTCCGACACGTCTCCATGAATCACACCAGATCCACCACTCTTCTAGTATTTTCGAATAATTGATGCCCCGGGATGGACCCGACTTGATCTATGTGAACCAGGAGCTGCAACATGGGTTTTAATCTGGTTGCTTGCACCTTAGCCAAAATCTTAGCATCCGTGTTGATCTGCGACATTGGCCTATAACAACCGACCTCCATTGGGTACTTCCCCTCCTTTTTTTAGCAGCACAATATTGGCTAACTTCATCTCCTGGGACAAATGCTGACCTGCAATCGCCGAGTTAAACAGGGTGGTCAATCTTGGCACTAGTATTTCACTAAACCTCTTATGGTACGCTCCAGATAGGCCATCCGGACCCGGGGTCTTCTGACCCGGGGTAGCTGAAATCGCATCTAATACCTCCTCGGGAGTAACCTCTCGTCCGAGTAGCAGTTTGTCCTGGATCAGTAAGGCGGGTAATGACACCGACTGCAAGAACTGGTGTATGTTTGCTCCGTAAGTAGTGTTCTCTAATGTGTCGGATGGAGAGTGGTTATACAGGGAGCTGTAGAAACTTGTGAACATTGATTCTATGTCTCCAGAATCCGCAGGAAAGAGATTTTGTATGTGTCCTCAGTCGGAGTGTCCTAGCTAGGATGGTGTCTATCCGATTAGCATTCTCAAAGTAAAACCTGCGGGACCAGGTCATATTCCTGGCCACATCATCTAAAATGGTCCTCTTGAGCTCTTATCTGACCTCCCTCAGCGTCCCCAAGGACTGCGGGTCCGGGGTAGCCTTATGACACTCTTCCAACTGTCGTAACGCTATATACCCTTTTAAAAATGTTTTATTTAATGTAACTTTTATTATTTTAGTTATTGTTTGCTTTACATTTATTGGTCCGACCAACCCAAATATTTTTTGTATGTGGTAGTGTGCGCATGCGCTTGTGTGTATATATTTTTTTCTGTTCTGTAGCATTTTGTAGGACAGGCATGTTCACTGCTCTATGTATTAAGGGTTGAGTTATGTCTTTTTGCAAGTAATAGATGCTTTTATAATGAGATTTTTTGTCATCTTTGACTGCACTAGCAATTTAAATCCATTATCTGGAAAAAGCCGCACTTATGCATCGGATCTCTGCTTGCTTGCAATGCACAATGACATGTGCCAAGCTTTAACACTAATTAGACTTTTAAAAAAATGGTTTTATTGCTCTAAAACTGCTGCTGAAAATGCTGCAAATATCAAACAAAATGCATCCAAATCAAATTATAGGTTTCCTCCAGAAATTAGGTGTCAGTATTTTACTAAGTGAGTGCCAGGAACAATGTTAAAAGGAACAAATTTAAGTATTTTATTTTGTTTCCTTGAACTTCCTGTGGTGATTGTCTGTCACCCCGCAAACTTGCTGGCTGTCACCTGTCTCTGGCTGTTTGCTGTTACATTAATCAACAAGGAAGGAAAATTGGGGTGTGTGTTTAATGTTTACTTTTAAAAAAAATAATAATTAAATGTTTTTAATAACATTTTCACTTTTTATGTTATTTGAATATTATTTCCCAGCAAGCTTCTCGCGTATTCATGCAGATTAACTACCCCTTGTTTATATTTCAACATCTTCTTTACTTGTGTTTAACCTGGTGCAGATTTCAACGCATGCTCAAACAGGGTCATTCTGAGAACTGGAATATTTGAATTGATAGAAGATGTCCGCTGGCCCCCGGTGTCTGAAGGGAGTTGCACTCTGGTCTCCCAAAAGCTCCATGTTAACAAACAGCGCGGATCTGGTTTTCCAAGTCCCAGTTAGATCATTCGATTCAGGCTGCTCACATGAGTTAGAAAAAAGGAAGGAAATAGGCGCTCGCTATAGTGATCAGGCAGCAGTATACAAACAAGGATTCCCCAACCCTGTAAGTGAATAATAGGAAAACAGAGAGAAAAGCGTATACCGCGCCTAATAATTTATATATGTAAATACATACATGTATCCTTGAATATTCCAAATAATCGTGACCTCAAAAAGAATTAAGATAAAAAATAATAGTGCAATACAGTAAATATTCTCTTAAAGACAGGTGGTTTAAAACTATGTACAGTCCACTCACATATGAATGAGCTATAACAGAGCTCTGCTGTAAAGCGCCTGGACACTACAATCCCCGTCTTTGGATTTGTAGAAGTTGCCATGAATATTTCCAAAGTGCAATGAGCGTAGTTGATATAAAAGAAAAAATAGCAGCAATATGGTGAAGTAAGTACTAATAATATAATAAATATTAAATAGTAGGCGGGGCTAAGCGGCCATGCTGAGCGGTCGCATGTGAAACGAGCTCCATGCAAAAAAGCTCTACACTAGCCAAAATCAGGGCAAAAACCCATCAAAATACGGTTAAGCAACCTGGAGAAGGAAGCCCTAAACTGCAGAGCCAAGCACCAAGCATCCCGACCGAAATCAGAGGCTTCTAACCAGGGATAGACCTGAGGCCCACCAGAGGCCTACTCGGACAAAACGAGGGAGGCGGCCAATCCCTACGCTGACCGCAGCCACTCACCTGGAGGTCTCCCCGGCAAACTCCCTCCCCCCCCCCTGCCGGTGAGGGATATCCCGGCAACTACAGCTTGAGACACATAGGCAAAACTGCAGCGGTGACTGTCCCACACAGCCAGAACAACGCCAGCAATCATGGTGAGTAACCCTCTGAACAGCGCCCCGCTGCCCCCTCTGGAAGAAAGGCTGGATCGCCTGTTTGCCGCCTTTTGGGCTAAAATATACCAACAGGGAGACATAACAGTGGAGACCCCACCAGCAGCAGGCCGGGAAGAGGCAGAGACCCGCGGCCCCCTTTCAGGGTATCGGCAAGGCTGAAATGGCGGGAAGAAGGAGATGGACGACTCGACGCAAACCTCGACACCGCAGACCAAGACAAGCAGTGAGTCGTCCTACTCCCCATCAGTGGCTACCCCTCTGCAGCCTCACCACACTCCCGAAGACCAGTACCCGCCATGTGGAGAACCCACATAAGAGTCCGCGGAGACTTAAAATGGAACCGGGCCGTACACCCACAGCGCCCCGGAAAACCCCTGCCCACGAGACTGACCTGCCTCACACGCTGATGATCAATGCGGCTCCCAGTCAGACACGCTCTCCAGCTCCAACACCCCTACACAAGCGGGGCATCGGCTGAAATGACCACACCATAGAGGTATCAGCCCCACACTGCGAGATGCAGACAGGGTGGAAGATTAGCGCAGAAGCCGCACATACTCGCAAGCTGGGACTCTTTCCTGCGAATACTGATCTGGTATTGCCTGACACGCACCCCTAACGTGACTTTGTGTAGCATCTTATAATGTATAATGCTCATCTACTAAACATATATTTTGATGCATACTGTGATAGCTAACGGCCAGGACAGCCTGTACCTTCTAATCCTGATAACCTAACACTGACAAACCATAATCTTTAACGCAGATCCAATGTTGTATTGAGGCATTCTGTCCTCGCTGTATTCATTTTTATTATACCGATAGATCAGACGTGCCTAGCAGCTAGCAAGTTCTACTTTATATAATCTATGTCAAGAAAGTTTAGCCATGACCACTGTGATAAACGTGTCATTTTTTGATAAGGATACGCTGAACCACAAATGGCGAATAAGTAATGGCGGAATTAACCCCTTCACCCCTACTCGGCTACTAAGGCAGGCATACTTTAACTCACGACCATACTCAAAATGCCTATGTACCCCATTAGCGTACACCTGAACAGCAAATACATAAGTAATTACAGTCATGTATTGTCTAGCATGTTACTCCACATTTAACTACTATAGAAGCAAGCCTATTCATGTTTTGCCCATTCTCCCTAGTAATCACAGTACTGGACTATCTAGCACGTTACTCAACACTTGGTTAATACTCTTTAAAAGTAAAAAATGTGCACATGTCATTCTGTACCCCAATGTTTCATATGTTGATGGAAAAAGTGAGTGGATTGCCTTTGGGGCACCACAAACCTGATTGTTAAGCCTATATGCACGAAAAATAAAGAATTATAAAAAAAAAAAAAAAAAATATTAAATAGTATTGTACTTACAATTTCTAGAGCATAAATCCTGCTCTAGTATAAACAGCGTAGGTGGTATAATCCCCACCAAGGAAATACAGGATCCAGGAAATAAAAAATAAAAAAATTGAGTGAATATAAAAGTAACTTTAAAAGTATACTTTAATATAAACAAACAGAATAAGGGATAATCAATACACTGCTCAATAAGTACATAATATTCACTGATCATCATGGGATGGTGTTAGAGAGATTATTTATCAGACAGACATTCCCACTCATCACCCTGAGAGGGATGGTGTGAGAGAGACTTGCCATTTTGGAGATGCTCTGACCCAATTGTCTAGCCATCAGATCTGTTCGCTTGCCCATTTTTCCTGTTTCCAACACATACATTGTGGTGTCCCTCAGGGGTCTGTTCTGGGACCTCTTCTATTTAACATGTTTATAAATGATCTTGAAAAAAGCATTGAAAGTCATGTTTCAGTGTTTGCAGATGACACAAAACTCTGTAAAGTAAAACAATGTGAGCAAGATATTACTTTGCTGCAGAGGGATTTATTCGGCTTAAAGAATGCACAAGCAACGTATACCCTTAATGGGAGTGAATTAGGGATAACAACACACGAAAAGGACTTGGGAATTGTTATAGACAACAAACTATGCAACAATGTGCAATGTCAATCAGCAATGGCCAATGCCAGTAAGTTATTGTCATGCATGAAAAAGGGCATTCATTCTCGGGACGAGAATATAATTTTGCCTCTTTATAAATCACTGGTAAGACCCCATATTGAATATGCTGTGCAATTTGGGGCGCCTGTTCTAAAGAAGGATATTATGGCACTAGAAAAAGTGCAGAGGCGGGCTATGAAATTAATAAAAGGAATGGAACAAATCCGATATGAAGAAAGGTTAACAAATTTAAATCTCTTTAGAAAAACGTCTCCTGAGAGGGGATATGATAACATTATACAAATATATTAGGGGCCAATACAAACCATTGTGTGGAAATCTATTCACAAACCGGACTTTACATAGGACACGAGGTCATGCGTTTAGACTGGAAGAAAGAAGATTTAATCTAAGGCAAAGAAAAGGTTTTTTTACTGTAAGAACAATAAGGATGTGGAATTCTCTGCCTGAGGAAGTTGTTTTTTCAGAGTCCATACAGATGTTCAAACAGCTACTAGATGCATACTTGCAAGAACAGAATATTCAAGGATATAATCTTTCAATGTAGGGTAATAACTGCTTGATCCAAGGATAAATCTGACTGCCATTCTGGGGTCAAGAAGGAATTTTTTTCCTAGTTTGTTGCAAAATTGGAAGTGCTTCAAACTGGGTTTTTTTTTTTTTTTTTGCCTTCTTTTGGATCAACAGCAAATAACAAATGTGAGGAAGGCTGAGCTTGATGGACGCAAGTCTCTTTTCAGCCTATTTAACTATGTAACTATACTATGTAACTTTGTAACATTTCAAGAACTGATTGTTCACTTGCTGCTTAACATATCCCATTCTCTGACAGGTGCCATTAATATAATCAATTGTATTCACTTCACCTGTCTGTGGTTTTATTCGTGTGGCTGATATGTACATGGCTTGTATATATAGTATAAATGTTATGAACATACTTTTCAAAATTGCATTTTCCCACTATTTGATTCACAGATCAAGTGAGAAAATTTAACCAATAGAGCGAAAAAGAGGAGCATTAAAAAAATAATCTCTATATATTTATGTATTGTATGTTTATTAAATATACTATATATATATTTATTGTATGTTTATTAAATATACTATATATATGTTTAGTGTATGGTTATTAAATTCCAAGGTTGGGGCAGATAGGGGTGAAGCCTGAGCTCAGGGGACGGCAGGTCAGGACCTTTACTACACCGGGACGGGTCGGAAGGACCGGACCCTGTTGCTGGCACTGGAGGGAGTCGGGCTGCCAACTGCGGCTGCTGGTTCAAGACCAGGCAGTCAGATTAGGGAGGTGATTGAGGCTGCTGGCACAGTGACAAACAGTCAGGCTTGGACTGGGATGGCCAATGGAGGGCCTAGTGTATGCCAGGGGGGTGCTGAGAGACAGGTCACGGACTCGGCTAGGGTCAGTGGCACACTATTCTGTGCGGCAACAGCATGCCAGGCTGTCAGCAGAGAGAGACAGTGGGTATGTGCCTGCACGGGAGGGCCAAAGGGCATATTGAGCATCACAGATTGTGCAGGAACAGGATCTACTTTAACAGGGTGATAGTAGCTGGCCATGCATGTGTGATAGGCTGACCGGCAGCTGTGTTGATCAACACCTCTCAAGGAGGCCCACGTGCAGAGTTAAAGCTGGATTAGAGATTAAAGGTTACTCCAGCAACCATGTCCATTTCTTCTTTTTGAAGTGGAGAAGGAATCTGGCTACACAGTATTTCTGCTTGAAACACTGCACATCCAGAGTAATTACACCCGCGGCACACAGGACTCAGGCTACCCAGACCTGTTCCAGACTGCCAGATGTCAATTCTGTGCAAATTTTACATCTGCCATTAGCGCGTTCTGCACGCTTGCAATAGACGTTCTCTGATTCTCCCATTTTCTAGATTTCAGGTGAGTTAAACTTTATTTTAAAACACAAAAGCACAGTTACCCATTGAATACATGTTATCCAGAGCTAAGCTCTCCCCAAAAGAAGGACGGGTTTAGCAGGACGACCACTGCAGACCGGAAATGGATGCTTTAAGTATTAAATGAATGAAGATGATTGGCAATCTATGAAATTGCAACATTTCGGACAAAATAGCTGGAAAAATGAAATTAATAAAAATCTCTGATCTCCCAGATAAAGCCTTTTCTACGTGGAATAAGTGGTATGTGTGTCTATTGACCATGATCTACTTTGTGAGTTATAAAATATAAAGGGCTAAATGAGCACCTGTGAAAAAATATATATTGAGAGAAGTGTGTCAATTATAGCAGAACGTCAATGGATAATGTGCAAACATTGTGTTTGAACAGCAGTAATACGAAATAAGACTCTCTGCATGGCAATTATTACGCACTTAAAGGGAGAATGGCACGCGGGCATCGAACAGAATGGCACGCAATGTGAGTTCATAGTCACTCATTTATGATAAATAAACTCCTCCACAAACTCTTAGAGCAGTCAATTACCCCAGCTTTGTTCTTTCCTTGGTCTAGTGTAACCTTTTTTGTCATGTTAATGTTTTATTTTCGAGAATAAGTATTTTTCAGTATATTACAGGGTCCACGATGCACATTTTCTCTTGCTTAACCCATTGTAAACCGTGCCATAAATGACCATCTCTGACATACCACTCAATCAGAAACCATTCCATTACTGGAATAGAAAATATTCTACACCCCTTCTGTCACAGGGTGGGGGGGTTGCACCCCAACTTAGAGGAATGACGAATCTCACAAACCGAGGTACTAAATAGACATATAACTGTGCCTTAGAGAGGCCGGACTTAATGTCAATACAGATAGAGTCAGAGTCGTGAATAGCTAAGGTCAGGGAATAGCCAAGGTCAGAGGTATGGATAAACGAAAAAACAAGCCAGGTCAGGATACCAAAAATACACAAAGTCAAATTATTTATTTATAAAATATTTTACCAGGAAAGATACATTGAAAGTTCTCTCGTTTTCAAGTATGTCAATATCAGAATATAACAAGAGAGACCTACTATAACGTGTATCAGGACAGAAACCATGATGGGTAATAAGTAAGGGCTAGAACAGGCCCTCAATAGGTTCATATGAGTTCTCATTGGTCCACGTCATCTCTGCGACCCGAAACAGCATTGGGTCCCCTAGATGACACGGGTTCTTTAAGGGCGTGACATCATGACAAACCAGCAGAGGGAGCGGTTCCTGAGACCAAAGGTGAACATAATCCTATTCAGGCTGCATGGCCATATGGAGCGAACCATGCAGCCTGTGGACCGGACTAATGTGGCAACACAGTGCGTTCTGCCCATGCAACCTAAG